TGGCATTTATTCGTGTAAAACGACAATTTTCATGCAACCTTGAAATGTAAAAAGCCGCCATTTTGACTCCATTGCGTAAGTCTGTGATGTGATGTACTTGTTCTAGGCGTGACATCACAATTGAAACAGTTGAAACTTATAACCAATCACAGGGCTGATAGGTCATATTACATGGGTTAATATGCCAAAATATCTGGCATGGTTATAATCAATGGATAACAGTACATTATGAGATAAAAACAATCTTTTGATAGTCATCCCATGATATAAAGATACGTTATTATAACAATAATTATAGTTCATGGCTATATTATTTTTCTTTCAAATAAAATTGCGGTTGAAATATTGATAGCTTTAAGAACTTCACTATCTGATAGCTGTTTTTTTAATTGTTGAACCAAAGTATTTGGTACTTTATCATCTTAATTATTCAAACACCCATTAACCCATTAACCTTTTCATTCTTGTCAGGTTCCTTTGACGAATTTCTTTTCTGAAATAATCGAAAAAAATAATCTTGTCGTTACTCTTTCTTTTCTTGCATTTTCCTCATATAATTCCCCATATAACCTTACTGAGTTTCATAACCGGTTCTGATATAGCTTCAAACACTGAAAGCTTTAGTTGCCATTCGTTAGGAAGATGATCGCCTCTGAGATTGCAGGAAATAATATTTCGATTAATTGGGTTTAGACCAAATATTATTATTTTGTATAGACATATGTAATTGTTACTCACCCCTTTCTTGAAACCTAAGAATATAACTTGACTTCACTGGGTCCCGTTTGTGTGTTACATCTTTCTATATAGGCTATCGTTGACCTATTAATGTAATCAAAATCATTACTGCAACTACAAATCAATTTGTGATTTTTGGTTATTACAGCTTTTCATTCTTAACCATGTGACAAATGCCTCTCGGCTTCTAAACGATGTTTGCATACTCTGGATACTTAAGTCTCGTGAGATTGCTGCTATGTCAATATTGTTTTATTGACGAGGCTTTTATAAATGTAGCTCTCAGATTAAATGTCTAATAAAAAATACACTGACGATAACCAGAATCTTGTTAACGTTAACACATAATCTGAAAGGGATATTTACTGCATCTTCAGTTATACCTGCTTCATGGCATGCAAGTCACGACATAAACAAAACCGTTCAATTAGTATATTTACTTTTCAAAATGTAGTCATTCCCCCATATATATTAAACTGCAAAATGTAAATACTACGTTTTAAAATATATGGGTTTTTTTCAGCTATTTCAACCATGAGTTTAAGTCTCTTTTATCTGTTGAAAATTACAAATATGATAAAAGTCTAACATGTANTTGCCTTTGATTAGTATACAGAGTACAATGGAAGAAGAAGTGATCAGAGTCCTCAACAGGAGAACTACATAAGCATACACTAACACATGACCTGATTAAGACACTAACTACGTCCCCACTTCACTTACACCTGACCGCATCAGGTCACATCTATTCCATTCCTTCACTTAACTTCACCTAAATATATATTCTGACATTCATTATATATATCCGTCCGTACCTCTTTTTTAATCCATATCTTCACAAAATCCTATCTGCCCTTTTAAAATTAACAAGTGTGTAGTCCTATGTCATAGGGAAAAAAACATTATTCAATATCCCATTGGCCATGCGATGAAATAATTAGGTGTCTTTTGTCTTCAGCTGTCCCATAGTAGGATTATCGGAGGCTCGGATGGCCAAATCAGTGAAAATCCTTGGCAGGTGTCAATCCGATCTTGGAACTCCCATATATGTGGAGGTGTCATCCTTGATGAAACTACTGTCCTGACCGCTGCCCATTGTCTAGGGAATGCTGCTCGGTAAGAGTTGTCATTTACAATATTACACTTTTAAATATGAATTAAGATGATCACTTTGTGAATTGAGGACAAAACACTTTTAAATTATCGCGTTTTGGAATTCGAGTTTCTTTATTATCACAAGAAATCCTATTAAAGGTGATTAGATAATGTTAAATGCTTTGTATACACTAATTTCTAATTTTCAATTCTGTAGATTATATAATAATGATATGTTAATTATAGCGTTTAACAGTGTACGGTACGGAAGTGGATACTATTAATATGTTAATGAAAGGTTTACAGTGTACGGTGCAGTCAGTGGATAGTAACGATATGTTTATAACAGGACTTACAGCATACGGTACGGTAGTGGATAATAACGATATAATTATTACAGGACTAACAGCATACGGTACGGTAGTGGATAATAATGATATGTTTGTTATAGGACTTAAAGCATACGGTACGGTAGTGGATACTAACGATATGTTTGTTATAGGACTTAAAGCATACGGTACGGCAGTGGATAATAACGATATGTTTATTTTAGGACTTAAAAGCCTACGGAACGGTAGTTGGATAATAACGATATGTTTATTATAGGACTTAAAGCATACGGTACGGCAGTGGATAATAACGATAGGTTTATTTTAGTACTTAAAAGCATACGGAACGGTAGTTGGATAATAACGATATGTTTATTATAGGACTTAAAGCATACGGTATGGTAGTGGATAATAACGATATGTTTATTACAGGACTTACAGCATACGGTACGGTAGTGGATAATAACGATATGTTTATTACAGGACTTACAGTATACGGTACGGTAGTGGAGCATTAGCAACTGGTTACAGTGTCAGTGTTACTTCTACCAAGCTGGTAAGTGTTCTTTATCATTGTTTATACATAAGATTCTACATAATACAAAAAGTATTTGATATTTTGAAATAGTCCTAATGTCGCGTGACAACAATTTTATAGTTAATAAGACCGATAGTGATCGCGTTAGTGAATGACATATCAAATTAGTGGTTGGCGATAAAAATAGATAACTTTTAAAAGTATGTTTTCGTTTGCCTAGTAGTATTTATTTAGCTGTACATATAAATGTATGTTTTCGAGTTTCATAATCAAGGACAAAACTATAACATCAATTATCACCTAATGAAATGAAGGTTACCGATTGGTGTTGGTGATATTTCTCGTTAGACACAGGGAGTGCATCAGCAATTGCGTCATACTATCTTCTTATTGGATACAGCAGGCCAAACTTAATCTATAATTTATAAAATATGTAGCGGTGACATATTTTTACTTGGCAGCATGAAAACTATGGTGTTGGCTCTGGAGGATTTCCGAACGATATTGCAATAATGAAGGTACAAGCAATGAGCTTTAACGGGAACGCGCAGCCAATCAGTTTGACACAGCGTTCTAACAACGACCTAGCAGAAGGAGCATTGTGTAGGATCACCGGCTGGGGTAACACTAACGGCGGTAGTAAGTTCACTCCCAGAAATCAATTAAAATAAATAATTTGGTTCAATATTTTGGCAAAATCCAAGGTCATCATTAACATCAAAATTATTCTTAAAAACTGAACGAAAAGAATTTTATTACAAAGCAATTATGTCCGTTGATTTAAAGCTATATCACTGTGTTAATACGTGATTCTATGATGTCAATTTTTTCTGTATACTTTGTATTTAATATCATAGCTAGCAGTATTCCGGACAATCTGCAGGAGGCCGAAATGAGCGTTATAACTGACTCGGCGTGCGAGGGACAATGGGGGAACAACATATGTCGATCTTGTCACGTTTGTGTCTACGGCGATGGAGAGCGCAGTGCATGTAACGTAAGCGAATAGCTATAGGTTAATGTAATGTAAGTGGTTAATTGTATGGCTATATATTAGTTAATGTAATGAAGGTGGTTAATTGTGTGACTATATATTAGTGTAATGTTATGTAAGTAGTTGAATGTGTGGCTATATATTAATGAATGAAAGTGGTTAATTGTGTGACTATATATTAGTGTAATGTTATGTAAGTAGTTGAATGTGTGGCTATATATTGATGAATGTAAGTGGTTAATTGTGTGGCTATATATTAATGAATGTAAGTGGTTAATTGTGTGACTATATATTAGTGTAATGTAATGTAAGTAGTTGGCTTTGTGGTAATATATTAGTTAATGTAAGTGGTCAATTGTGTGACTATATATTAGTATATTTACATTTGCATGGCATTGTCACTATATAGCCTCTTTGGAAGCTGTTTCGTTGATGGGACTTTAATTATCATGCATCACGTGACACAATTCTTAGCGTATTAATACAACACTGACCGGAACTACAATATCCAATATAAATAAGCATGACGGCTGCTGAAATATCGCTGGGCATTGTGAGATTTGACAATGTCATTGTAAATTTATGTGCAAAATAAAAAATAAAATAAAAAAACCTTTTATTACAACGAAAACAAGACCAAGGTCTGCAATATCGTACAAAATGCACATCGGTTGAAATCACCAATGCCGGCAATGAAAACAATTGTAACGCTCATGCAATTTATCAGAAATATCGTCTGTTACACTGCACTGATCAGCACTGATATGTTACAGACCTACTGATATGAGCCACAGCACACTTAACATTTCAGACATTTTGTAACGAACCTGTGCTCCGTCGCAAGATCACTCACTTCAAACGCTATCAGTTTCACGCGTCTCGCATCCACGGTTCCTGATTTCTGACGACATGTCAAATAACGAGGCCGTTATAGAATCTACCGACTGTTGTCAGGTTCCCATACAATCAACAAATAAATTCACGCCTGGATTCTTCACAAAATGAGCAAAGAGAAAAGTTCGAATTAACTTCCAAAAATAACTCCCTCGTGGAGGGCAAGGTCGGATTTACGGTGTTCACTGTATTTGTCCATGCGC